ATTTCTTAGTTTTTGAACAAATTTTTAAATACCGTTTTTGCGTTATAAAAATTGAAAATATATATGTCGTTTATTATTTAGCACAAAGAACGTATGTTAAAAGTACTAATTTCAAATACAATTACACATGCCCAGTTGCCCTCACTAAAAATTATACGTATGTATAGAGAATGTTAATTTCAAATAATAAAAGATTCAAACAGACCGTCAAAGACTCAAATAGACCACTAAGAAAATTTTAGTCGTCGATCGCGACTACTGCAAATAAATGTCGTTCGTTTCGTCTCCGTTATGAGTCGTCTGGATAAGTGAACCTTGCGTTCAGAGAAGCGTTTAGAGAATCTCTAATTATGCTCATATTTTTGTGGCAACAAAATATAAATGTTCGAAGAAAGAAGATCATACAATGTATTGTATGTAAAACGGAATTATATACTGGTATTTGTTAACTGAGCTAATAAATTAGATAAGAATTTTAAACAACCGTTTTATATATGTATTTTCTTTATTTTGTGAAGAAAATACAAAGAAAGTTTTCAGATAACCTCGTATTTGTCCAAGTAAATGTTATGAATGTTTTTTATAAAAAGTATTAATTGTTATTAAAAATATAAAATCATCTTACATTATACAAATTTTTTCATAATTTTTGCGTCCGTGACGAGAATATAAAACTAGTTTGAATAATATCGTTAATATCAATACATATATGCAATGATTACTTTTTTACAAAATAGTATAAATAAATTACTCTTTGAAATTATACGTTTTTAGTGTAAGTTATTTGAATTTAGCGATGAGAAATCATATTGAAAAATGAATCTTATTGAAGATACTATAATTCAAGCTGTATGTCACAGTATCGGGTATATAAACTTCAAATTTGCTGCTTAATGATGACGTATAATCAGGGTGCACTTCTGATTGGTTATCTGAAGCTGTTATGCGCATGAGTATATCTTTATCTTTATATCCTGGTACCGTATTGATCAATTGTCTAAAGCTGTCACGCGCATGAGTATACTCCTATCTTTTATGGTACCGTATTGATCAATCAGTTCAAGCATTTTGTACTAAAGCAGAGAAGCCTGAGAGCAGCCATGCCCGAGATTTAATGACATTTCAATTTCAATTTCGGATTCGATCAGTTTCGGTAAAAAATCAGAGTTTCGATTTGATTTCGGTTTCGTTAGAAATTAAGAGAAAATTTCGATAAGTAAACCAAAACTGTACAAATTGCAACACATCGATGAGCGTTCAAAAACAACTATTCGATTTTAATTAATGACTCGTTGACTGAGCATAAGACAATTTGAGTACAAACTTTGATGTGATTCTAATAATAACTGTGATTTGATTTTTTTTTTTAAGTTGAGGATGTGTAATATTATTATATTATTATAGTTAGAAATTTTTATAAAATCTTGA